TCCTACTGACTCTCCCTCTTATATAATGCCCCGCCCCTGGTCCTACTGACTCTCCCTCTTATATAATGCCCCGCCCCTGGTCCTACTGACTCTCCCTCTTATATAATGCCCCGCCCCTGGTCCTACTGACTCTCCCTCTTATATAATGCCCCGCCCCTGGTCCTACTGACTCTCCCTCTTATATAATGCCCCGCCCCTGGTCCTACTGACTCTCCCTCTTATATAATGCCCCCCCCCTGGTCCTACTGACTCTCCCTCTTATATAATGCCCCGCCCCTGGTCCTACTGACTCTCCCTCTTATATAATGCCCCGCCCTTGGTCCTATGGACTCTGCTGCCACTCTTACTCATTTTGGGCTGTCCAGTTTCAGAGATGCCATCTTCCTCTTTTCTCTTCTTCCGCCGGTTGTGAGACAGGCGTGCTGGTGGCCTGACAGAGCGAGAGACAGCAAGGTATAGAGAGTTACAATGAGAGACAGCAAGGTATAGAGAGTTACAATGAGAGACAGCAAGGTATAGAGAGTTACAATGAGAGACAGCAAGGTATAGAGAGTTACAATGAGAGACAGCAAGGTATAGAGAGTTACAATGAGAGACAGCAAGGTATAGAGAGTTACAATGAGAGACAGCAAGGTATAGAGAGTTACAATGAAGCACATCTATTGGATCTATAAGGTTGGTATCTACTGGACAGTTCAGCCACCAGTTTAATTTTTGGGGTTAACTAGATTGGGGCAAAGCAACAGGTTTGCTGTACACATACACTCCTCTCTGGTATATACTCACCTTTCCTTAGCTCCCCACTGCTCCATTCAGTGGTGAGAGTCGAAGAAATGACCCTGTACCTCCAGGTATGGAGGAGCAGGTGACAACGCTAGGCCAATCAGTACCGTCCATAGCCCTGTGAGAGTTACAACCGCAGTGACTTGTACCAGACACAGGGCACAGGGACATCCTTGGCTCCTGGGGAGTGAGATAAAGGTAAGTGTATGCCGCTGGGGAGGGCTACGTTTAAATGGATCGGTTGCTTTGCCCTACATACAAAAAAATCATTATGTGCATGTGTAGAGGGACAGAGAGGGGTGGAGGATGGGGGAGCTCTGTAGTCCAGCAGGCAGGGCTGACAACACTGCTTGAGATTTCAGTACAGCGGAGGCACGGTGTAGTAAGCCCAAACAGGAAGTTCAGGGCGGAGGCACGGTGTAGTAAGTAAAAAAAGAAGCTGAGCTCTCAGCAAATTGTGACCTCCGGCACCGGACGTCAGGGACAGCGCTGGAGATGGTAACTGAACACTGGAAATATTTGTTTCTAAATCCCTGGAGTTCTACTTTTGTTGGCCAATATGGAAGAGGGAGGGCGGGGAAAAGCCCAAAATTGCTATTTGCTTATCAAACTTCTGCCGATTTGTCAGCTGGGATCTACAGATAAGGCACTCAGCAATCAGACGAACCCCCGCTATAGCCATGTAATGACTTTTATAGTGATGTCATCGCACAGGCGGAGCCCACAGTACTCCAGGACTGGGTACCGCTCACTTGCCATTATGTAAGTGGAAGAATACTTACTGCCACTGGAGAAGGAAGAGGAAGCTGCATCATGTCACCAGACTGAGAGGAATGCAGGTAGCAGCTTTGGGGGGCGGGGGCTCCTGCTTGAAGTTGTCCATCAAAATGATGAACCAATAGTGAAGCAGCTGTCAGAATATTAAAGAACTCCGGTATTTCAAAGCTGTACCCTTGGAGTGGGGCTACCTCCGCACTGCACCTGTCCCGGATTCACCTGGACAGGTTTTAAGTCCTGTATGTGCTGTTTCCGGGTTTCTGGCCAGCTGAACCCCAATCACAGCACATACAGGACTCAAAACCCGGACTGTCCGGGTGAATCCAGGACAGGTGGCAACCCTATATCTGAGCCCCCCTAGACAAATGGAGCACTTAAAGGAGAACTATGGGGTCAGGGCTATTCCCCATAGTTCTCCTTAGGGTAATGGGAGGACACAAACTAGCGTCCTCCCGTCACCCTAAGCTCAGTATATAGGGAGCTACAGCTCTCTATGTACTGAGACGCCGCAGCCGGAGCGGATCCCGACATCGATGTCGAGATCCGCCCATCTGCGTGACAGCTGGCTCTGCCTATCTAGAGGCATAGCCAGCTGTACCCGCCCCCTCCCCCGTCCGTTCCGCCAGTCAGCGCTGGCGGATCGGAGCGGGGAATCCAGCCCCTCCCTTGTCGCGGCGGAGAGCCGGGACAGGATCGAGAAGTGAGCGAACGCTGTCGGCTCGAACTATGAGGGTGAGTGAAAATCACTCACCTCATAGTTCTCCTTTAACCCTGTGGATGAATCAATGTGGATGTAATGAAGAGCCTGGCAGCAATACAACCCCCTTCCATGTCCAGGATTTCACCATAGGGCTGACTTACATGGTGTAAGAGGAAGTGTGAAGAAAATGTACCTTTTTCCAGCTGCAGATGGAGACGATTCTCTGAAATCATAAAAAGAGGAAGACAATTAGGACATCGGCTTGGAGATTCTGGTTAGAACTAGAACTACAATTTACTGCTGATCTCAGAGGTGGCTTCCCATATGAGATCTCGGCTCGATCCTTCATACAGATAATGGGAGGGGCTTGTTATGCCTTTAAAAGGAGAACTATGATATGAGTGATTTCCACTCACCTCATAGTTCTAGCCGACCTGTGACAATGAGACTGTCACAGGTCGGCTCAGTAGATCGCGAGGTGAGAGAACACATACCATACTCTGCCGTGACAGGGGAGGGGCTGGATTCCCCTCTCCCCGCTACGATCTGCCAGCGCTGACTGGCGAAACGGACGGGGGAGGGTACAGCTGGCTCTGGCTCTAGATAGGCAGAGCCAGCTGTCAGTCACGCAGCTGGGCGGATCTCGACAGCGATGTCGGGATACGCTCCGGCGTCTCAGTATATAGGGAGCTGCAGCTCGCGGTATACTGAGCTTAGGGTGACGGGAGGACGCTAGTTTGTGTCCTCCCATTACCTTAAGGAGAACTATGGGGAAAAACACTGACCCCATAGTTCTCCTTTAAAGCCTGAACTGAACCCTCTTAAAGTTACCAATGTAATGTAGACAGTAATAAATATTCCTCTTTTAAACCAGCGAAGTACTGCAGGAAGGGTTAAAAATCCCCGTACTGGCAGCACAACGAGAATAGGACCTCTGCTCTCCCACACAAGCAGCGGCCTGGCTCCCCTGCGATCCGACACCCCCCACTGAACACTGTCCTAGTCCACATTGCTCTCGCTCCCTCATCAGAGCTGTTGTTCAGAACCGGGTATGGGGTGTTGGATTGCTGGGCAAGAAAACTAAATTCAATCTACAAATCAGTAGGTGGGTCACATTGTCAGCATACATGGGAGGTCTTCAGCAGTCCTGGGGCGAATAGTCACTTTATAAGCACTCTGTCTTACTTGCAAAGGGGGTCTGCCGAGGTCTTTCCGCCATCGTCCTCCAGCTGTTCCCTAGAGAGACCAGACACAGATATATGGACACAGCAGTGAATGATCAGCCAAGATACAGCGTTCCAATAATAATAATATCAAAAGGATTGGCCATGTGTAATTATACCCATGAGGACCAGCAGGCAGATGATAGGACAACCTCTGTGGGGCCTCACAACCCTTCATCAGATATGAGCTCAGGCAGGAGATATGAGCTCAGGCAGGAGATAGGACAACCTCTGTGGGGCCTCACAACCCTTCATCAGATATGAGCTCAGGCAGGAGATATGAGCTCAGGCAGGAGACAGGAGAGCCTCTGTGGGGCCTCACAACCCTTCATCAGATATGAGCTCAGGCAGGAGACAGGACAACCTCTGTGGGGCCTGACAACCCTTCATCAGATATGAGCTCAGGCAGGAGATATGAGCTCAGGCAGGAGACAGGACAACCTCTGAGGGGCCTCACAACCTGTCATCAGATATGAGCTCAGGCAGGAGACAGGACAACCTCTGTGGGGCCTCACAACCCTTCATCAGATATGAGCTCAGGCAGGAGATAGGAGAGTACATAAGAGAACAGTGACTGACCTGTCGGCCTCGCTCCTGTTCAGCAGACCCTGGAGGATGGTTTCCAGTCGGTTCCGGGCATTGGACGCCTCTAAATCTGATCAGAATAAAAAGACACGTCAGACTCCCTCCGGCCAATTCACAGTCCACGTTAGGCCATTACTGCAGAAACACAGCACAGGTCCACTTTAAACTGACTCTGTACTCTAGGTAAGGCGGACCGAACGGACAGGGTGACAACGTCCCTAGGTAAAGCGGAATGCACGGGCAGGGTGACAACGTCCCTAGGTAAAGCGGACTGCACGGGCAGGGTGACAACGTCCCTAGGTAAGGCGGACCGAACGGACAGGGTGACAACGTCCCTAGGTAAGGAGTTCACCCCCCACCAGATAACAATCCCATAGCCCACACGTCCTCCTCACCTGTTTTCTCCACCTTCACCTTTGTGAGCGACATGGCGGCTGCAGGTCGGGGTCCCGGCAGGCGACTCGTCCGTTTCTTCCAGTGAGGACCGTTGTCACCTGTGAGATAGATCACACGTCGTCAATATCCAACATCTGTAAACATTGCAGCCATAGTGAAGTGGTCCTTTAATAGACCCCCCCCCAAACCAAGTGCAGAAGGGGGGGGGTCATTCTTACCTTCCTCCCCGATCCAGTGACCTTCCCTCGGACAAGGACTCAGCCACTTCCTTTTTATACTTCTGACCTTCCTCCCCGATCCATCCTCCGCCATGGTCCCGCCCCCTTTTTATACTTCACATGTGTTCAGTGGCAGCCCCCCTTCATTCCTATCGGGGAGCTGGACTCTTGACCGCCTCCGGAAGGTCCCTTGGAGTCCGGCTCTCCCCATAGGAATGAATGGGGGGCGGGCCACAGAACGCATGTGAAGAATGGAAAGGGGGCGGATCGGGGAGGAAGGTCAGGTGGGCTGTCCCAGGGGGAGGGGCTTATTAAAGGAAATCTTCAAGTATCTCTAACAATATGAAAGGATACAATGTGACTTTTCCCAGAATATCAATCACAGCGTTGTCACTGAGAAGGTGTCACTGGCTGGTCCTGATGTTCCCTCATTATGTAGGTATGTCCTGTGCGGGACCGACAACGCTCTCGCTTTGCACATGGCTGCCACCCCCGTACCCCGGGTTACTGGCACCCAGACCTATGCAAAGGTCCCGTGTGCGCCAGCCGCTTCCTTCCCCAGTGCGGTTATTATATACAGACCGGCGATGTCACTTCCTGTACTGACGTCGCTCCTCAGAGAAAGCTCCGCCCACTGAAAAAGGCCACGTGAGGCTTATTGATCACATGACCACATGTAAACAAATTAAAAAAAAAAGGGTATTGTAGATTTTTTCTTTTTAGCAATTCAACATTTGAGGTGCTGATGATCTCCTGCGGCCACTTCCTGTCTACATGCATCCCAGAGATGGCTGCCATGGCATTTCTCAGGGCGGGTATCCCGATGGTGACAACAGTGGGCCATGCCTGTGTAACATGTGTTGGAGGGGTCGATCCTAGATTCCACGTGACAACCCAGGTGAGCAATTGGGATGCAGGGACAGAGTGTTGTCACCCTATAACAGGAAGTGGCTGAGCTAGGACATTCCTGGAAGGATCACGAGGATTATTTTAACGAAAGCTGCAGATTTAGAAAGTTCACTTCTGACCTATGACCCAAATCATCCTGTTCTGCCTCCTGTAGACAGCCTCATGTTTCAGGCACTGGGGGAGGTAGTTTCAGGAGGCAGGGCTGTGACACACAAATATATAACTGCAGCCTTAGGAAGCCTAGTCTCACTCCTAAGGCTGCACTGGTCAAGTGGAGTGACAGAGGCGCCGGGAAGTCTTTGAGGGGAATCAGAATTGGAGCACACAAAATCTGGAGCAGTTGCCCGGGACCGCTTCTGTCTTCGGTTAAGATTTGAAAATGAAAGAGAGAAGCTGATTGGTTGCCAGGCACAGCTGCTCCAGTTTTGATAAATTCCCCTCGTTGTGTTATTATAGGTGCACTCGTGCCCGGTGCACTCCTCCCCCACCACCGTTCTGAGATCCGGTGTCGGTTCAACTCACCTCAAAACCCGCTCCTCTACTAGCCCCGCCCTACTGCTCCTCATTGGCTCATTCTGCTCAGCAGCGGAGCAGCTACCGGGCCATCTCCGCGTCAGTCACCTACAGCTGACCAATCACTGTCTGCGAGCTGAAGCCATCCGGGCGCTGTGCGTGATGACGTCAAGCACCATATGTGAGAGGTTACCCGGCATGCTCTGCATGGTGGTTGCCTGGAGACGGGCCGCTGGGGGAGCGGGAAGTACGAGAAGTGCGCTGGGGACACCGAAAGCCACAGCACCGACTCTGGTAACGGGGAGGGCGGAATGACACCGGATATTACAGAGCAATGAACGTCTGGAGCCTCTGCTAACATTAATTACTCACTGCATGTCTATTACTGCATATCCTTTAAATTGAGATTATAAAGGTGTCTCATGCATCATGTATTCTATTATTGACAGTTATTATTTGATAGACTCTTTCTGTGACCCCCATTATTGAGATTGTTTTTCTCACTTCCTGTCCGTGACACCCATACACGAAATAAGCAAAGCGGTTGTCACCTGGACACGGTGATAAGAACGTTGTCAGATGTTCTAACCTTCACCTGCTCTAATGTGTGTCTGTGTCCCCTTCAGAGAGATTTCCCATCACTTCCTGTCCTGACTGAAGGAAAAATCTACCCAACAGGGACACAAACAGGGGGGTGTTGAAGTGTAACAGGTTCTCTTTAGCACCCCTCCCCAATTTGCAGCAGTGCATAGTCATCTACACTTCGTTACTCTGTTAAGGGGACGAAGGAGAGGAAGCTCTGTCTAGGCTCAGAGGTTACACAGGGCTGAGCAATGCCCCCCATGTGACTGCTCCGAGCCAATCGCAGAGCAGCAGTGCTGTCACATGCTCCTCCATACCAGGAAGTAAACAAAGGGCATCAATGCTTTATGACCCCCTGACCAAACCCACCCCTCCCCCTCCACAGATGTGTACTTACCACGGCCGCAGCCTCTGGTCTGCATTTACATCCAGCAGTGGTTTTCTATGCGTATATCCGGTGTGGGGAAACCGCAGGTCAGCACTGTATGTGTGAACGGGCCATGAGGCTGCGGAATGTACCATAAGAAGCAGGGGTGTTTCCTCAGTCCCCAGGCTGCCCCCCCCCCCCCCCCCTTACATTAAACCTTCCACTTATAACATGTATACACATCTGTTAATGACGATTTATGTTCTAATTTTTTATTTTCAGGGTTTTATCCCTTGTGGGAAGGACGCAGAAGACCGATTCAAGGTTTACCGCTGCCGAGATACACGGGACAATGAAAAGCAGGTACGTCATTCATTTAAAGAAGAACTCCGGGCACGGAATAAAATTACAGTGGGGCTACCTCTGCTCTGGAAGGGTTCAGTGCTCCAAGATAAGAATTTGGAGGTCTGATTAAACTCCTTGAGATAACACAGGAAGTGTGCACAGGACGGCTCTGGATTTCTGGCGGGATCGTCGGGTATTCTTTGCACTTGTCACACAGATATATAACACTTTCAATGTTTATATCCAGCAGACCAATGGGGAGCGAATAAGAGAAGGTCATTGTTGGGGTTTACACGCATTCTACTGGTACGCGGCCGATGCTCCCCAGGAGGAGTGTAGAATCTGAGAGTCTGCTCGGCTTATCTTTATGTAACATTTAAAGGAGAACTCCAGCTTTACCCGTCACCTGGACAGGAAGTAAGAGGCAGTTGTGCTTGTTGGGGCAGAAACAGCAGTCAGAACCAACTCGCTCACTGACACTCGCCTTCCCCGCTGTCCCCCGCTGCTCCATTCTTCTGTCAGAGGGTTACCGGGTTACCCAGTGAATCCGGGTGACCTTCTCCCCTTCTGGGTATGGAGGATCATGTGACCTTCTCCCCATCCCCGTAGGGAGGACCATGTGACCTTCTCGCCGTCCGGGTAGGGAGCACCATGTGACCTTCTCCCTGTCCGGGTATGGTGGATCATGTGACCTTCTCTCCCCGTCCGATTAGGGAGGACCATGTGACCTTCTCCCCATCCGGGTAGGAAGGACCACGTGACCTTCTCCCCGTCTGGGTAGGGAGCACCACGTGACCTTCTCCCCGTCCGGGTAGGGAGCATCATGTGACCTTCTCCCTGTCCGGGTATGGTGGATCATGTGACCTTCTTCTCTCCCCGTCCAAGTAGGGAGGACCATGTGACCTTCTCTCCCCATCCGAGTAGGGAGGACCATGTGACCTTCTCTCCCCGTCCGAGTAGGGAGGACCATGTGACCCTCTCTCCCCGTCCGAGTAGGGAGGCCCATGTGACCCTCTCCCCGTCCGGGTAGGGAGGCCCATGTGACCCTCTCCCCGTCCGGGTAGGGAGGCCCATGTGACCCTCTCCCCGTCCGGGTAGGGAGGCCCATGTGACCCTCTCCCCGTCCGGGTAGGGAGGCCCATGTGACCCTCTCCCCGTCCGGGTAGGGAGGCCCATGTGACCCTCTCCCCGTCCGGGTAGGGAGGCCCATGTGACCCTCTCCCCGTCCGGGTAGGGAGGCCCATGTGACCCTCTCCCCGTCCGGGTAGGGAGGCCCATGTGATCTTCTCTCCCCGTCCGGGTATGGAGGATCATGTGACCTTCTCTCCCCTTTTGGGTATAGCCGATCATGTGACCCTCTCCCCTTCCTCCCAGGAGCCTGGGCAGCCAATCAGCAGGCACAAATACTGTCACCAGAGGGCGTGGAGAAAATCATTAACCTTGTGAAAGGTTCGACACTGACCAACGTGGTCTGACAGAAGGAAAGTGTGACAGAGGAGCACCAATAGGGGGGGTCGTCTCTTTCAAGAGAACCTGTCTCTGTTCCCTTAATGTGTAAATTGACAGATCGCCTTTAATGGCAGCACGGCTCGGTGCCTCCTTGCCCTGCGTGTACACCGGGCATGTCTTTGTCTTTCTCCTCTGTGCCCGCTGTGTCTGTGAGAACAAAGCGGGCTCTGTAGTTAAGCCGGAACCCGAGTCTCACCTCCTCCATAATTAATCACACAGCACGTAGGGCAGCAGTCATCAATACCGCATTTTCCAGGCTCTACATTGTACAATGAATTCTAATCCTTATCTATTGATGACAGAGAAGCAGTTCACCTCGTCCCTTTGTTTGGGTGAATGTTGTGTGCACTGGAATTCTATAATCATTTGTTGGCGGGGGGGGGGATCGGTCACCAGTGCAAGCAAAGAGGGTTCTGACCCTTCTACAGTCTATACAATGCATAGAGATTGGCTATAAGAAGCCGTCCGTCTCCACACGTATGATTCCAGATAAGGGGTCAGGTGATCCTGCAGCAGAGTTATGGATCCGTCTAATGTGTTCTTACACTGATGATTGTTTGTTCAGGGAGACCTGTGTGTCCATCAATTTGTCCGTCCCAGGCTCATGTTCTTCTCTCATCTCTTATTTGCAGCGTGGCAATATTCTCTAATCAGGGAAATCCCTTCCCTCCTCCGGCGAAGAGCAGAACCCACTATCAGCCATCCCAGCCTCAGATACTTTCTGAAGAGCAGAAACAAACGGTGGGTGCAGTTCACTGACACTAGAGGCAGACGAAAGTAGCAAATACCCTGTTGTCTTTGCGCAGTCTCAGATAATGCCATCAGTCAGCTGCAGGCCAGATGAAGCTTTTCTTCAGTCTCCTCTCCCTGTGATCAGTCTGCTGCAGGCAGGAGGAAGCATTTCCTCAGTCTCCCCTCCCCCAGTGATCAGTCTGCAGCAGGCAGGAGTAAGCAGTTCCTTAGTCTCCTCTCCCCCAGTGATCAGTCTGCTGCAGGCAGGAGGAACCATTTCCTCAGTCTCCCCTCCCCCAGTGATCAGTCTGCTGCAGGCAGGAGTAAGCCGTTCCTTAGTCTCCTCTCCCCCAGTGATCAGTCTGCTGCAGGCAGGAGTAAGCAGTTCCTTAGTCTCCTCTCCCCCAGTGATCAGTCTGCTGCAGGCAGGAGGAAGCATTTCCTCACTCTCCCCTCCAGTGATCATACTACAACTTTATAATTTTGTAGCAAGGCGAGAAGCTGCAGCAGGGGGGGGCTGACCTTTGTCAGACTTTTGTGAACACAGCCAAGAACTGCACAGACACCAGGATTTATATGATTGCGTCATCTCTGAGCCGGCATCTCAGTCCAGGAAGAAGTTAGTAACCCTGGGTGATGCCTGAACAAAGATGGCTCCGTCCTTCTGGTGAGAGAAGCAGATAAAAGCATTGTCGGGGGGAATACTGTGATCTCGGTGAGAGGTAACGCATACCTGGAAATGTTACCCTGACCCATTGCTTAGCATGCATGCATTTCACATGGAATCTGATGACAGGCCCACTGAAGGGTGAATTAATAACCGATCAGATAGGAAGCAAAAGTCTTTGGCGGCTCTGCGGTTTTTCCTTTATGGATTTCGGTGCCAGATACTTCATTCTGGACTGGAACTTACCTTGAACATTTCCTTTCAGGTTTTAAGTCCAGTTCGTCTTCCTCATCACCTGTCTGAAGCCCTGAGTCCTCCTGACCTCAACTTCTTGGACGGATCCCAGAGGTTTGTCCATGGCCTCCCTGAATCTGACTCTTCTGAGCCTTTCGATGAGTCCTGGCCTTCATCTGACAGCAGCAGTAAGACTCCAGAACAGGAGAGGATGCGGACGGGTCCTGCCATGAAAACGATGGGAACACACGGAGGATCTGACTCTGCTGACCCGACCCAGGAAGATTCCGTCATAGCAAGGTGAGATCGCTGTTTTCTTCCCTTCTGACTTTCCGAGGAGTACTCAGCTGGCTTGTGTATGTTTGCTCAATAATCGCACCATCCCACACATTTTATTATTTCCATTCTCGCAGGTACATGGCGAAGTTTCGGACTGGACGCCCCGCTAGCCGCCTGGAACGTTCTCCCCCTCAGCACGCAATGAAGGAATTCTGGTGGCTGCAGACGTCTCCTGACAGTCCGGATGCTCAGAGGTTCCGGCCAGGCTCAGGTGACATTTAAATTCTGGGACTTTAAAGCAGCCCTGGCACAGATTTAAAGAACTCCAGGAGTGTGAAAATGTAACCCTTGCAGAGGGGCTACCCCCCCACACACACTGCAGGGGATAACTGCTTGTTTGTTTCCAGGGGTGATAACAAAGAAGAAATACTCACTCTGTCCTGCAGCAGCGACCGCTCACCTCTCTTCGCCTTTGATCCGCCTCTGTTATGTCCCTCAGCGTCTTCATGTATTATAGACCTGTAATAGATTTGATGACACCATGGGACCTTAGAGTGCCAGAGCCAGGGGGAGAAGAGGCGGCGGGGACCGGTCTAGCACTTAACCCTTGCAGTGGGGAGGTAACCCCACTGCAAGGGTTAATTTTTCACAGTCTTGGAGTTCCCCTTTTAAAATATTCCCTTCTGAGCAAAGACCAACAGATGCCGGAACATACCTTTACTGTTAAAATAAAAGTGCTCTGGGGGCCTCTGTTCCTGGGTACACTATGTATACAAAGATTGGGGGGGCGCTCTGTTCCTGGGTGCATGCTGTATACACAGATGGTGGGGCCCCAATCCTGGGAACACTCTGTATACAGAAACGAAGGTGGGTGGCAGATTCTGGGTGCACTCTGTACACACAGATTGAGCCCCTGATCCTGGGTGACCTCTTTATACACAGCTGTGGGGCCCGTGATGCTGGGTGCACTCTGTATACACAGATGGGGAGAGACCCTGACCCTGGGTGCACAACGTACACAGATATGGGAGGGAGGGCTGATCCTGGGAGCACTCTATATACACAAATGAAGGTGGGGGGGCAGATACTGTACACACAGATTGGGCCCCTGATCCTGGGTGACTTCTGTATATACAGCTGGATGCCCCTAAACCTGGGTGACTTCTGTATACACAGCTGGGGGGCCCGTGATGCTGGGTGCACTGTGTATATGTTGGTTTACTTTAATCATCTCTGTGTTGTCTGTATGAATGGGAATAATGGAAACCCCCAAAGTGGGAGGGAACGGAACCAAGATATGACAAGGATATTTTGCTAAGTCCATTAGACTCTTCTAATTGAAACATCAGTTTTTGTTGTATGACAATTGTATATAAGACAACCTATGTACCGGTGGATGCACACATGGTGTGTCATCTTTTTACTCCTGCAGTGGGGGGGAGCCCAGGGATGGCTCATTTGTGCATTTAGTGGGGGGCAGCATTAATGTAGATGTAAACCTAATTGTTGACTTGCTTCATATCCTGTTTTGCAGGCATTTCAGCTGCTCTAGGATTTTCTCCTCTAAGTCTGGATATGACTCCTCCTCTGGCGGTAATTCCCTATTCTGCTTTCACTTTCACATTCTAATACTGAGGTTGTAGTGAGAGATAACCGAGCAAAATACTAAATTCCCGGTTCAAAAATGTGAACGCGTGCTCCGCTTTACTCATCCAGATATATGTTTCAGAGTTTTAGTTTGACTGTTAAATGCTGATCTGTAGATATTTCTCTGCTCTCGGGAGTCTATGGGGTTTTCGGCACAGAGAGGAAGTGAAAATGCATAGAATCATGACTGTGACCTGTAATTTATCCCTAACACTTATTTGCCCCCTGCTTCCCTCTCCTAGCAGTGACATAGCAACCCGGCTCCCCCTGCTTCCCTCTCCTAACAGTGACATAGCAACCCGGCTCCCCCTGCTTCCCTCTCCTAGCAGTGACTTGGCAGCTCAGCTCCCCCTGCTTCCCTCTCCTAGCAGTGACATAACAACCCGGCTTCCCTCTCCTAGCAGTGACGTAGCAACCCGGCTCCCCCTGCTTCCCTCTCCTAGCAGTGACTTGGCAGCTCAGCTCCCCCTGCTTCCCTCTCCTAGCAGTGACTTAGCAGCTCAGCTCCCCCTGCTTCCCTCTCCTAGCAGTGACTTAGAAGCTCGGTTTCCCCCGCTTCCCTCTCCTAGCAGTGACTTAGCAGCTCAGAGTAGCACAGAGAGAAAACTAAACATTTATAATGGCAAGTCTATTCAGATACTACAAATATAATGCCTTCACTTTTCCCTTTTTTAATTGAAGGACAGAGAGGTGTAGGTGCATTACAGAGAGCATAGAGGGGCAGCCCTGAGCTTATTGTTCACTGAGAAACTACAAACCTCCTCATATATGTAATGTTCTTCCTTCATGTTGTCTCTCTCTTTCTTTCTCTCGTAGGAGGGATCCCTCAATGACTCTACAGTATGTCCTGCGGATGTGGATATTATGGGTCTGCAAGAGCGAGCAAGAAAGCTTATCCTTCAGAGGTAAGTTCTACCATAGGGCCCGATGAAACATTTTCAGGTACCTGATGGATATGAAATCAGATGTTGTAACGTCTTAGATTTTGTCGCACTGAGTTTCCATTGCTTGCTGTGCACAAATCATTATATCTATATAAGCCTAGTGGCCTTTTGGAGCCTGCAGTCATTGTTTGTTTCTCTGGCAAGTGAGTCTTCCCTTAGTTCTGGGGGTCACGTGAGCTCGGAAGGGGTGGGATCATCTCCATCGTCTGTGAGCGATATCAGCGGGATCAGATCTTCTTCACTGGACAGAGGTAATGAGAGAACTAGAAGCATCACATTATAACATAGCTCAGTGATGTAATAGGTGATATTCATGGATCCTCTTTACTTTCTCTTACAGCTTCTGTTAGGCCTGTTCCACCGGTCACCTTGCTCACCCCGTCTGTGAGGACCCATGCTGCATTGGCTCCCGAGGAGGATGTTTTATACCAGTGGCGTCTGCGCAGAAAGATGGAGCAGGCCCGAGAAGGAACCCTGCCCCTGACCACACGGAAACGCTCACCTTCCCCACCCGTCCGAATCCCCAAGCAGGTACCCGATGGCTTGTAAGATCTAAGCACTTTCAATGTATAGGGCCGCCGATATGGGAGGGTGAGGTATAGGCAGGGTCTGCCTATGGGCGGCCCCAGAGTACCATCATTCCAGCAGGAGGTACGTGCTATTGTTATGAATGCGTGCTGTGATTGGCTGGGACATGAGGGGCGGCTTGTTTGGTTTCAAGGTAGCCAAGCAGAGCAGATGGATGCAAAAGCGGGCAAAGGAGATCAGGGATTGGGCTGGAGAGGTGGGAGATTGCCCTGTGTGTGGGAGTCTCAGCACAGCTAGACATTAGTTCTATTTTCCATGGGGAAGGAGGGTGTGGGGAGTAGTTATAGGGAATCAGGTTGGCTGTATGGTCCGGATCTAAAGGAGAGGGCTTCATCTTGTTTGCTGTGTGTTACTGCTCCTATGCTGTGTATTAAATATAACATATAAAATTCCTTTTAGGTTTTGCCGGCTGTGGATTTTTCCGAGACGGTTTTCCAAGTTCCGCCATCCCTGGCAGCTGCGTGCTCACATGTTGCAGCACATACGCAAACTCCCACTTCCGGTTTCAGCCATGTTCCACTGGCGAGTCCGCACGTAGCTCCCCATTCCATGGCTGGCGTGGTTCCTCCACACCTACATCTTCAGTGTGACGTCCTGCCCTGTGTGCACAGCCAGCAGCCCGCTCCTTGTACGCAAGCAAAACTGGAGACGGTGGCAACAGGACCAGCAGTCCCTGCCCCGCAAGCTGAGACACAACCATCGGAGAAGCGCAAGGCTGTATCCGAGAGGCTACCACATAGAAAGTCTCAGAAGAGGCCAGACAGGCCGCCGGATAGAAAAGTCAAATCGAAAGGGGTCGAAAGCAGGGGAACATTTGATAAATCTGGACCGGTGAGAGCTCTGGAAGTTCCTTCTCCATCACCAGTTCACCAAGCCATGGAGCAGGTGAGACGTCCTATGTGTGTCATGCTAAGTTTAAAACCCATCTTCAGGTAAATATTAACTCCCCACTTTAAGGTTGTCCTTACTACTTAACTAAAGTCAAGTCATGTAATGCTCCAGTCCCGAGTCCTCTCTCCTTTATTGTGTACATGAGGCAGGGTCCTTCTTTGGGAATCCACATCATTGCCTATATGACATGGACACTACTATGGCTGTCCAATGGAGATGTTCTCTCAGCATCCAGAAGAGGAATCTGCAGTGGTGAGGTCAGTGCAAGGGGAATAATGGGGACCGGCTAGCATGGGTGCACCTGCAGCGCTGGATTAGTGGTACCCCATGCCAGAAAATCGTGCCATGCATCATTCCAGATGGCAGACATTGGTGAGTGTACCTTACTTCACAAGGTCAGAGGAGGGAAGACTCCGGACTGGAGCGTCACATGACTGCGGCTATACGTGAGTAAAAAGGGCATTTAAATTTTAGTCTTTTTTTTTGCAAAGCCAGCAGTCAGTAA